TTTTTTTTTTTTTTTTTTTTTTAGAGTATCAAAATGTTTATTTTTCTAGCTGTATGGAGCATATTTTATTCTCATATATGATTAATGAAAAATTAATGAATGCATTTGATACAATTTTAAGCTATATTGATGAGTATAAAACATGGGTCGAGGTAGATACTGAAAGAAATTATATTTATAGATGTTCTTATAGGAATATACAAAAATGAAATTGGAGGATGTAATACAGTCGACCTCCCTATAACACGAGTCCCTATAGTTTGGATTCCTATATCACGGCAAAAAAATTGCAACAGTATTCGTACAAACATGCTAAAAATCTCCTATAATTCGGTAAAACATCATCTCCGACTCGTGTTATGACAGGATTGCACAAACTGTTGAGTTTAAACGAGCAGCAGACCTACCAAAAACCATTTATTATTTAACGTCCATAAAAATTATATTTATATTAATGATGTCTCCAAAGTTCAGCGAATTTTTCGCAAAAAAAATAATTTATCAGGAAGCACGCAAGCGCCATTCAATGACAATCTCCACGATGAAAACAAGCTTAAGCAACGGCGTAGTCGAATGGTGCACACTCAGTAAGTAATCCTACAATTTTTTGTTTATAGCATAGTTTATATGGATTATTCCCAAAAAATTATATGTATTTTGGAAATGTTGAGTCGAATTAGTCTAGAATCGATTAATTTTATGGAAGAAACCTTTCAAACAGCTGTAGTCCATAAACTGCGTATGTGCCGGGTTGTGATTGCCTGGACTCTTAGAAGCTGGATTCATAAAAACAGGAACGTATCTACCATGTTATAGGGGGGTTGACTGTATTATTATTCCAAAAGATATCTATATCTATACTACTATATAAAGAGACAATGTATTTTTCATTTGTGTCCACTAACCTTGGAAACTACTGAACCAATCTTTACCAAATTTTAACTGTAGCATCTTTATATGATCCCTAGAATGTTTACCATTAATCAAACCTACAGATTTTTAAAAATTAAATAAAACTGCAACGGATTTTTGTCTGTCTATTTCTCTCTCTTCTTTTCACTAGATGGCAACACATGAATTAGTACTTTCTGTCTATAAGAAAAGTCTATTCTTGAAGTTTACTACTATATTTGCAGAACTGACATTAAATTATAATTAATTAATTAGCAAAATCTTTGAGGAATTAAAAAAGTGACATTGTTAAAATTCATAAACCTATATGTTTTTCGATTAAAATTATTAAAAATGAGGATAAAAAAATATACGCCAATTTTTATTGTGGTAATAATGCTGTTAATAATTTTATCCAAAACCAGTTGGATAATTTGTTAGATAAAATAAATTATGTTGAAATTAATTTAAATACTGTTTCTAATAATTCAAGACATTTATATCATATTTGCAAAGAAAAATTTGATGACAATGATCAGCGGTGGCCTTATCCATTGCGAGGCTCTGGGCGGCAGATCTTTGCGAGGCCCTTGTCCTTTGTGCAAAGTATGTGAATTGAAATAGTAGGCACTTATTAATATTAATATATACTGTATTATAAATTAAATTTATTTTATTGTTATAACTAATAGCCAAGGATAAAATAAAAAGTTTTAAATATCAACTTTTTTCTACTTGGTTGTTGCGCGAGGCCCCTCCAAGAGCGAGGCCCCGGGCGATTGCCCTGCTCGCCANTTCCGTACATCATAAGATATACGTTTACTTGCTTCATCTTCTGACAAGATGAAAAACAGCTACCACCCAAAAAATGTTTTTATAATGAATTATCAAGAGAAAATATTACAGATGATGATTACAATCATGCTCAATTAGTTTGGAAAAAATTTCACTGTAAAACTTTTAAAGACTATTTAAAATTATATCAATATGTTGATACTATATTATTATTAGATAAAATACAGCTACCATTCAAGAAACATTTTTATAACAAATTATCAGGAGAAAATACTACAGATGGTGATTACAATCATGCTCAATTAATTTGAGAAAAATTTCACTGTAAAACTTTCAAAGACTATTTAAAATTATACCAATATGTCGATACGATATTATTAGTGAATATATTCCAAAATTTTAGAAAATTAAGTTTAACATATTATAATTTAGATCTTGTATATTTTATAACAACAACTGATTTAACGTGGAATTTCAGTTTAAAAAGGACAAAAATCCAATTAGAATTATTTAACGATCTCAATATTTACTTGTTTATTGAAAATGGAATTAGAGGAGGAATAAGTTTAGCGATGAAAAGATTTTCAAAAGCAAATACAGTAGAGCATCGATTATCCTAATCGATTGGGGTTGTTCGGAAAATTGATTTTTGGGATAACCGATTATGTACGAAAAAATATATTAACCTGTCCCATGTTGAAATTCACTCAAATCCTGGCATGTTCTTAAATACTCTGTCATGGTCATGCCAGTGCTGCCAGCTAAAATATGCACACTAACAAAAATAATATTGGAGTAGCCCAAGACATAGCCAAAGATTGCAGTGCCACAGCACTAGAAGAAATTTAAATTTTCCAACTGGAAAGCTTTCGGTTAATTGACGTTTCAGTTGATTGCCATTCAGATAATCGATGCTGTACTGTAATCCATTAATACCCAAAACTTATGATAAAAATCAACCTCATAATTATATTCTGTCCATAGATGCAAATAATCTTTATGGGTTTGTAATGAGTGCATATTTACCTGTAAATAATTTTAGATGGTTGTCCAAAGATGAAATAAATGCTTTAGACATATGTAATATATCAGATGAAAATGACATCGGATATATCTTAGAAGTAGATCTAAAATATCCGGAAAGTATTCACGATAGACATAATGATTTACCACTTGCTACTGAGCATACTAATATCCTGTATGATTTATTATTTAATTATGAAAAAACAGTATTAGGTAAATTAAATTTAAAATATACTAATAGTAATAAAACATTGGTTCCCACTCTTTTTGATAAAGAAAATTATGTAATTTATTATAGGAATTTAAAATTTTATCTAGATGAAGATCTGATAGTAAAATTCATAGATTACTTGCATTTTGTCAAAGTGCGTGGCTTAAAAAATATATATTATTTAATAATAAAAAAAGACAAGAATCGACTAATGATTTCGACAAATCATTTTTTAAATTAATGAATAATAATTTTTTCGACAAAACATATCAAAATCTAAGAAAGCATATTAATTTAAAAGCAGTTAAACCAATATCATAGATATCTATCTAAACCAGTGTTTCTCAATAAGGGGATATTGCCCCCATGTGGGCGTTTTCCCCATGGGGCAATTAGTAACAATTTATATTTTGGGGGCGAAAAATAATTTTCTGGGCAATATAGTAAAACATTATATTAAGAATAATTAGATATTTTATTTGTTTTATATCCATTTAATAAAATGTTATTAATATGAAAAATGTATCCTATAATATAACTAAAAAAATAATTATTTCCTAACATGAAAAAACAATTTTGTTTCTTTATAGACAATACTCAACTGCTAATTGATTGGGGGAATTTTTCATCTTTGCCATTAGATGAAAATACCATTCGTCATTTAAGAAATTATATTGACTGGGATATCATCAGTCAACAAAATGATTTATCTCTCACATTCATTTCTGAATTAGCTGTTAAATTAAATTGGGAAATCCTATGGAAAAATTATATATTCACTACTTCATTTATTGAAAAACACATTAAATATGCAAAATGGGATTTAATTTGTGAGCATCAAATGTTAGACAAATTAGTCTTAACCAACTTTTCAAAATATCTTGATTGGAATAAAATTGCTGAATTTCAAATCCTTTTGGATAATTTTATTAGGGTATACATACATAAGTTTGATATTAAAAATTTTTAAATACTAACAATTAAAAACTATGACTTTACGCATATTAAAATATTATCTAAACTGGAGTTTTGTTTCTCATTACCAAATACTTGACCACCAATTTATTGACGACTTCCAAAATCAACTTTCTTAGTGTTACATTTTAAAATATCAGAAATTAGACCAGGAATATATATCAACAATCACCAAAATTTATTTCTCCACTTACTTGTAGAAATGTGTCATGTTTTAGATAATGTGAATGAAAAAACTGGAAAAGCTTAAATAAAATAAAGTTATTTACATCTATTAATGTAAAAATAAAAAAAAAATTAAAACTAATTTTGTTTTTTGTTGTTATTTCATACCGTTGTCGTGTTTTAATTTTCTTGGATATTAAAACATTTAATAATTGATACAAAAACTGTCTTATTGTTAAAATAAAATTAATGTAATTAAAAGTTGTGATCAGTATGTGTCAAACCACTACTACTGTTAATGCAGTTTGAAATGTAAAACTATCTTTCAAACAATGTTTGATTTCTCTTAGTAATTTATAAAAAAAATTATTTTAAAATGAGTGTTAGAGAGGATAAAGTTCTGTTCAAAACAATGGAGAGTCAAATTATAGATGTATGCTGAATAATATTAATAGATTGATATATTTTTAATAATTTCTTTTCTTCTAATGAAACAAAATAGTATCATTTTAATTAAATTCCAATCATTAACTACATTATTACCAACCTTTCAGCTTATTCTGAAAAACATTAACAGCTTCATCTTGATTCCATATTGGATTAAATCTAAAATAGAAAATAAATTCAATTTTTCACATCAAATTTTCATGGTGCATTAAAATATAAGATAAAACATAAATACAAATCTTAGTGTCAATTAATATCATTCATAACTAATTCATTAGAAAGAATACATAATCTGACTTTTTTAAATTGGGAAAATATCAAAATTTTTATAAAATCATATACCTTTACTTATGTTTGATAACAGTAATTTTAAGATTTTGAATTGCATGTAGTATTTGTCCCCCCACTTTAAACTCCTAAGTTAGCTTTATTTTAATGCTAACTTAGTTTTGTTCATTTAAGATTCTTGTGAATTTTAATGTTGTTGTTATCCATTCAGTTGTTCAAGATCACTGGTGACCCTTTTCGCAAGCTTCTGCCACAGTTTCCTATCCTGTACTACTACCCTCAACTGGCTCATGGTCATTCTGGTGTCCATTTTGATGGTATCAAGTCAGCACATTCTATTGTGACCAGGCCTTCTCTTATTATTGACAAGGGAAAGCAGCATCATGGACTTTTTTGTGTGACTGTGACTGCATTACAAGACCAAAATAAGTGAGCCTGAGCCAAGGTATTCTTTCTTCTAAGGACATGTCAGGTTTTTCACAGTCTAGAACTTCCCTGTTAGTTACCCTATCAGTTCATGGTATTAGAAGCAGCTTCCTCCAGTGCCACAGTTCAAATGCATCTATCCTTTCTCTGTTGGCTCTCTTTACAGTCCAACTTTCACAACCATACATGACTATGAGAAATCTAAGAGCCTGAACAAGACTGCATTTAGTTATTATCTAAATATCCTTGCTCCTCCAAATTTTTCCATGCTTGGTATTGCATTTTGTCCTAATGAAATTCTTCTCTTGATTTCAGATGTTACTTTTCCATCACTGTCAAGTTTTGAACCAAGAAAGATAAAGTTCTGAACATGATCTATGGTTTCCATGTCTATTTTTGTTTGAGTCTGGCTTGTTTTGTCTGTTGTCATCATTAGAATAGATTTCCAATAGGTCCCGGGTCATGCAAGGGTTCTCGGCAATGAGACCACTGACCATCTTGCCAAACAAGCTGCAAAGTCTTCAGTCATTAGTACTTTCAGTTACATTCCTACCTGGTACTGTACATCAACAATCACATCAAGAAGCAAATCTTCATTCTCTGGCAAGACAGCTGGGACCATGACACCACTGGTAGGCTCACCTACACCTTCATCCCCAAGGTTGACACTACTGTGATTCTTTGTCACTTTTACCCTAGTTACATCCTCACTCAACTACTTACAGGACACTTTAAGCAATACTTGCATAGATTTAAGCTTGGGGACAATCCACAATGTAATTGTGGTATTCAGGAGGACCAAACACCACTTCACTTAGTTTTTTGCTGCAATAGGTACTGTACAATCAAATTAGGGATAGTTTAAAGAGAGCTGCTATTCTTGAAGGGTACAACTGGCCTTGCAACACACACCAACTCATTCACACGCGTGCAATGTTCCATCATCTACTCCCATTTATATCCCTTAGTGGGGCTCTTGAGAGCACTCACTCCAATGGTACAGATGGCAATTAGCTTCCTCTTGCTTTGTTTCAACTGTCAGTATATACAGTAGAGCGTCGATTTTCCGAAAGTCAATCATCCGAAACGTCAATCATCCGAAAGATTTCCAGTCGGCAAATTTAAATTTTCGCCAGTGCTGTGGAGCTTCAATCTTTGGCTATGTCTTGGGCTACTCAAATATTTTACGTTTTTGATACTAAACTAACATCTGAAGTATAATTTTTTATTGTTTTTATATTTTTCAATATATTTTGTTTGTACAAAATAAAAAAATAATTTTTAACGATACAATAGTCTTTGTTAGGCTTAACATCGACGAAAATTCAACGCGAAGCGACACACAACGAAGAAAAATTTCAACATGGGATAGGTTAAACTATTTTTTCGTACATAAATCGGTTATCCGAAATATCAGTTATACGAACAACCCCAGTCCCCAATTGATTCGGAAAATCGACACTCTACTGTAGTTGCCTTATAACTTTGTATTTTAATTTTTATTTTCTGACTTCTTTTTAGACTGCATTCAGCTAGTTTAAGTTAGTCCTAGTTGTAAGTTAGATTAGGGACTATTAATTCATATGCTTCTATGTCCTTATTTTCTACAATTTGTTAAATGTTTGTCTACGAGGACTGAGCTTATTAACACCAGTGCAATATGACCTATTAATAAGCTCAGTCCTCTTAGACAAACATTTAACAAATTGTAGATTAGTGACTCTTAGCTTGGTTTCCAGTTAGGATGAACCTAACCAGACGACTACAGCTAACAACCCTAATCTAATTTAACCTAAGTTATGGTAGGTTAGTTTAGTTAGTGAGTTAATGTTTAAAAAATAAATAAATAATAATAAATAAATAAAAAAAATGAAGTGGGGTGTTGCTTGTTTGTCTTTTGTCCATCCGATCATCTCATCTAGTTTGTTGTTGTGTTCGTTTGTTTTTTCACACTGTCTATCAAGCTGTTTAGTATTAAGATTTGTGCTCAGGTTCAGTTTCATTAGTATTAAGTAGTTATAAGTCTTTCTACTAACAGCCACTTGGCACTAACTTCTACACTTAGCTATTCATGGTGCACTGAATCATTGGTGTTCACTACACTCAGGTTTTCTTTTAGATCCTTTGGGGGACTATAGCCTTGCAGCCTAAAAACTGCACACCAACATCAGACATAGAGGTTACTGTAGCCATACGTACACCATTCAGAGAGATCCTACCTTTCTCTACTATCTATCTCCTCTCCCTCCTTCCCCTCCCCTTTCCCTTACCCTCTTTACTGCCAGCTAAACACCTGGTATACAGCCAAAGTCCTTCTTGTATGTATGTATGTATGTATGTATGTATGCATGAATGTATGTAGCCATCACCTTGGTCTTTTTAACATTGAGGTGGAGGCCCATTTTTTACTTTCAATTTTGAATTTTGCTGTGAGAAGTCTCAGGTCATCCTGTCTCTGCAAGCAGAGTTGTGTTGTCAGCATAACAAAGATTTCTGCCACCTATATTTACTTCTATCTTCAGGTCTTCTAAAGCAGATTTTCACATGATCATTTCTGAGTAGATGTTGGAAAAAAGTGTCTAACAGAATAATCCCTGTCAGACACCTTTACTAATTTTGAGCCAGTCTTTGTAACCCTGTCTTCTCTGTGGTTTCTTGATTGGAGTCAGTGGCGTAGCGAGGGGGTGCAAGGAAGTGTATTGTGCATTGGGTGCTACTCGCAGAGGGGCGCCCAAATGGTCTCCAAGACAAACTATATGTGTTTCTGGAGAGGGGAGGAGGCGCCAATAAAGTGTCGTGCCCCGGGTGCCAGTTATGTTCACTACGCCACTGATTGGAGTACAAGGATTTTATGAACTTTACTAAATATGCTGAGATACCAACTTCTGTATGGCTTTCCAAAGCTTATTTTGATTCACACAATTATGACCAGAGGGTAAGCACCTCTTTAGTGCCTCATCAGGACTGACACCACTCTGTCTTCAGGATAGACACAGAAACTGCAACTTTGAAATTTGCATGAGTGTTTACATGTGCAGGCACTCTGATTTGGGATGGATGATGATTGAGAGATGGATCAGAAGTGAATCACTCGGATACAAGGTTAACAATTAAAATAATCAATTTAATTCAACAAAAAAGAGAATACATAGTTCTATGCTATCGAATCATGGTCGAGAGAGAGTTTACAAGAAACTGTGAGTTAGTATATATACCTTTGATGCACTTAATTGTGCAGATTTCCGGATCGCTGACTTTTGGTCAGTTGAAGCGGTGGGTAGGCGTTAATTTTTATTTTTCTTGGACGGAGTCAAACCAATGGAAAACTGGAGGATATAATAATCCTGGGAGTTCGAAGGCATCAAAAAACACAGTAGGAATCCTTGATAGCCTGGATGACGACGATACCTCTCCTGTTTTTCCAGGGCACTTGTTTGATGCGCTTGCAAACTCTTGACGACCCCTTATCCTTGAGTCACACCTTTTATACCTCTAAATCACATTATCCTTTTTCACCAATCATGAAATTTTGCTATTAGTTCCTAGTGACACATTTGATGAGTCCCTGGGAAAGGAATTGACTCCAAGGAGAGATGCAATCATTCTCTGGTAATAAAATTGGAAAAATTTTCGTAAGACGAAAAATGAATTTTCTCTCCAAATTTTTGTCAAGTCTGACTCTCACACAATTAAATGCCCTGATATATGAAGCACATTGTGGAATGGCACTTTTGGATATTTTTCTTGCATAGCATGAAGATTAGTATTGAGTTACAATAGTTGCACTTTCTTTTGTCATATTATAATCATTTGTGTCTGAAAAAAATATATAAATTAAAGTATTAAGTATTTAATTATAGCCATATTATAGCCCGAATATTTAGGTGGTTTTTGGATTATTATAGAAATTAAAATTTTGGCAATGCTTAGATACAAACACTTAAAAAGCAAAATTTTGGCAATAGATACAAACGTTTAAAAATTTCTAAAAATTCAGTTATAACCATACCAAGTCAATGAAGCACATGTGGAATGGCACTTTTTGAATTCATGAGCTTTCTCTATTATCCATCTCAAATTTTCAATTTGATCACATGTGCCTCATCCACATTGGAAGCCTACTTGAACATCTGGAAGTGCCATTTCAATAATTGGCCTTAACCTTCCTTGTATGAGCTTAAGAAGTATCTTGCTTGCATGTGGGATAAGGGCTACTGTGCAATAATTTGCACAGTTACAAGAGTCATCTTTCTTTAGTTTAGGGATAAAGATTGGAAAAAAAATCAATCATGTGGCCATTGTGCAGCTTTCCATAAAAGCCATTATAGGTTTAACAAATTTTGGTTGTAGTAACTCTGCTGGGATGTTGTCTATGCCTGATACTTTTCTTTTGGCTAGCTTTTTCCTTGCTTTTATCACTTCTGACATCAGTATGAGTAGTTCTAAATCTGAATCATGTGGTGGATCAAACCCATGACTGCAAGTTTATAGTTCTGTATATTCTATCCACTTGTTTCTAATGCTCCGTTGGTCAGCAGCTCCTTCCTATACTTATCTTTTATGTTACCTTTATGGGCCATGAATGGCTTTTTAAATTTTCTGATAGGTGTGGTGAAGAGGTTCCTTCTCCACAAATCAGAAAATTTGTAGCTCTTACTAAATTATACTTCACATTGTTTGCATTGGTCATTCCAGTATGCTTGTTGGAACTCTGCATTCAGTCACTCTACTTGTCTGTTACCAATTGCTTTTGCTGCCCTTCTAGACTCTGTGATTTCAATTGTTTGCTCGGCCAACTGATTATGACATTTTTCTGGGATTGTCTTTTGACACGCTTTAGGCAGCTTCAGTTATTGTAGATTAAATATCATTCCAAAGTTATTCAATTTTCTTCTCTGCTGTATCAAGCAACTCAAATCTGTTTGTCACTATGAAAGTAAATGAAAGAGGGATCTTGAAAGTGTAAAATTTTCACTGTGGGACATCCTTATGAACAACACATTTCAATGTACATGATACAATATTTCTACTTTAAAAAATAAAAACATTTATATTTGAAAAACATAAACTCTATATAATTTTAAAGTTTGAATAATGAATATGAATTTCTTCAGTAATTTACTTATGTTAAGAATATTATAAAAATATAATATATACAGGTAACCTCCGTATAACACAGTAGTTACGTTCCAAAAAATTGCTGTGTTATGCAAAACTGTGTTATACAAAACAAAGAACTAGTACGAAAAGGAGGGTTAGGTTCCAAAAATTAAAAAACATGCTATTATAGTTTCATAATTAAGATAACTATATTTATTAAAATTTTCTTAAGAGATACATATTAATATAAATTAAACAATGTTTTCTTTGTCATCACTAAAAGCACTATTAACTGAGAACGTTTTCTTTTTGGCAAATTATCCTTATCTTCTGAGCATTTTTCTGCATTATCTTCAGATCCATGCTTTACCTTTTGAGAAAAGTATGTAATTTTAGATTGCTTGCTTCTAGTTAAATGATCTTTATAAATTTCGTTATATGGTGCTAAGCACTTATGAAGAATAACGCAAGTCTGGAATAAGAAAAAAGCATCTGGCAACATCAGAAGCAGAAGCATCACAATCTGGCAATATTGAAACAAGTTTCGAGAAGGACCATGTGTATCGACAGAAGACAAGAAAAGAAAATTCACATACTTAAACACTAATAGTTCACGAAAATTATTATTTTCGTGAACTATTGTATGTAAGTATGTAAAAATTTATTACTTAATATTTAGTACTTAAGTATGTAAAAATTTATTACATTTCAACTTGTATGAGGGTTTTACCCAATTCGCGAACTGTGTCAAAGTGAATCCGTGCTATAACATTACCATGTTATACGGGGATGGTACCAATTCTCGAACTGTGTTAGAGTGAATCCGTGCTATAGAAGTGCCGTGTTATACAGGGGATGGTACCAATTCTCGAACCGTGTTAGAGTGAATCCGTGCTATAGAAGTGCCGTGTTATACGGGGTTACCTGTATTTAAAAAGATTATGGAACTACCGATAGTGAAATGAAAATTAAAAGCTGACTAATCCTGATTCTATAAATTGTTTGTATTTTCAAATAAGCATAGTTTACTTACCCTTGCATAGCATGAAGATTAGTATTGGGTACAATAGCTGTACTTTCTTTTGTCATATTATAATCATTTGTGTCTGAAAGTAATATAGAAATTAAAGTATTAAGTATTTAATTATAGCCATATTATAGCCTGAATATTTAGGCGGTTGTTAGATTATTATAGAAATTAAAATTTTGGCAATGCTTATAGATACAAAAACTTAAAAATTTCTAAAAATTCAGTTATAACCATACCAGTATATGCCTTAGCAGTTGCTGCTTTTAATAGTCTTTTGTAACTAGAAAATAAAAAAAAATGTAATTTTAATGCAGTATTAACTTGCATACAAAATTTATTTTATAGAGAAACTTACCTGCTAATTCGAATGTAATAAACAATAAGTAATAGTAGCATACAAAAAATTAAAGTTCCAATAGTAGCTACCAGAATATATGATTCTTGTTCTTCCCAAAATGTCTTATTTATGTTTTTACTTGTAGTATGACTCTAGAATGTTATGATTAATTTGAAACTTTTAAATATTTTAAAATATTTTTTCAATTTGATGTGTTATATAAAATAACATATCAAATTGAATATTATTGATAATTAAGTTATTTCAACATATATTAAATCAAAACACAAAAAGAACTTATATCAATATGAACATCTCCTATAAGTGTTCTTGTTTTTGCTGTAATTATTGTATAATGTCTTTCTATATTACTGAAATTTAATGGAGACAGGTTTGAGCAATTTCTTTAAGGCATTGCAAAATGGAAGTGTTTATATATTTGAACTAAAATTTTCAAATTGCAGACCTTTACATTCTCACTGTCTTCCAGCTGTCTGTCCTTTGTTAATGTTGATAACAGAGTTAGATAGATAAAAATCGTGACCAGGTATAGAAAGCTTAGGAACTGTATGCCCCAATTAACTATTTACAAACTTCTAGCCTGAACCAGAAGTCATGTGAATTCAATTCAAAATTTTCTTCAGAACGGAGTTAGATAGATGACTGGCATCACTTGATTGGTTTCAGGAGAAGTATGATATACAGTACAGGGACAAGACATCACTAAAATTCAGACCAAAAATATAAAAGTTTAGGGGCCAAAGACCTTGATTAACTATACACAAACTTCTGGTTCAGACTGGAAGTCACATATTTTTTAAAATTAAAAGCTGATTAAAACTTGCAGTCCAGCATTGTGACAATGTCACAATAAGTAATTGCTCATTTTATATAGAATGTGATAAAGTAATTTTTTGTTTAGATGTATGTTTGTCGTTTGTGATCTGGAAAAATTGTTTTATTCTCTTTTCTTTTTTTGTTTTACCCCTCCTGGGTATAATAAATATTGAGTTCCAAATTATAGCCTTATATTTGTATCCTATGAGATTTTTAACCAACCCAAAATGTATTTTTTGATGGCAGCTTTATCACAAACTATTTAAAGCTTGAGAAACAAACAGTTACAAAACAGCTCAGCATTATAGGGAAGCTGAATTTACAAACTTTTCAAATTTGGAGTACATGATCAATGCATCCTCTTAATTTTTTCTAATTGAACAAAATGTGGAATGTATTCATTTTGACCTGCTCTACAACTTTACAATTGGAACTGTAGTTCTATCTATAATAGGTGCTGAGATAATTTTAGCCCCTCTTTCTTTGGGGTAGGGAGAAATTCACTTATGTACCGATGAATAGCCCATGCTCAATAATATATGAAAACAAGCATCATTTACATAAATCTGACAGTTCTTTCTTAGCTATTAGCTTGGATTGCATTTTAGGAGACATCGTATATATGTATACTATATATACTATATATAGTGTGTGATTGGTTAATGAACAGTTTGGTTAACAAACAAACCAGATAACGAACACTTTCGCAAAAAATTTTATATTTGGTTAACAAGCACCTCACAGAATAAACACAAGAAGCGACGTAAAGTAATGAATACCAATTGGTCTTCCCTTGTCTTCAGACAAGGGAAGACCAATTGGTCTCTCTCAGGGATGATGTAGATAGAGAAGGTTGGAATTCGGAGGTGGAAGTTCAGAGAAACTCTGTGGAGGAAGTTCCCATGTCCTTGATGACGGTGGTTTTATATGTTGAATTTCAAATGGTAGCTGTATTACGTATTATATAGGTAAATGTCTCTTCAATCCGAACAAAATTTCGGTAGACTTTCTCACAGCTCAACAGGTTAAAAATCTCCTTTATTGTTTTTCACATATGCATTTTGGGCAAGTTTAATTTTCCTGCCCCTCTTCAGTGCTACAAAACAAATTCATATTGAATTTACACAAAACAACTTTATAGTAGAAAATGTTTACAAGACATAAAAAGACACTTTATAATACCTTAAGATTTCCCACATGTTCTTTCATCTTTTTTACAGTACTTGTACTATCAATTTACAATGTTTTCAAATTTATAATTTTCTCTTAAGGGTGTTTTACATCGAAATCCGTACCATTATGCTACACAACTAATTACAAATTATAATTATTAGTAACATTTTAAATCACTTATTTATAACAAATTTTTTCCTTTAAAAAAATATTTACTAAAAAAAATACATACATGTTTTTCTTTAAAAGTGTCACAACAATAACAGAGTAGTATACGTTGTATAAACTTTAAAAAGGTTCAACATACAATAAAATTTTCACGACAATGTATAATCTTAGAAATATAAACTATTGACTTGTTGCGCCCCCTATCATGTTATACCATTGCTGGTCGATTTGCATGCCATTGGAAATGTTTATTAAATTATTACCACTGTATTTCATTATTTCTATATGTTCTTTGAATTTACGTTTATATATATTTTTCTCACAGTGTAGGATTTTAATATTATTTCTATCTATTTTGCAGTTACTATTTTTGATGTGGTTATACCAAGGTGAATTATCATGTTTTAACCGTATGGCAGCTTCATGTTCTTTTATCCGTAATTCCAAAGTTCGACCCGTTTCACCTATGTATTCTTTAGGATTTTGACAGTTGCAATTAATTTTGTAAACAGTTCCAGTTTTTTTCAATTTATCAGTATTGGTTTTGTATTTTCCTAATTTATTTGAGATTTTATTTGAAATTTTATTGGTCAAAGATGGGGCCAAAATTATATTGTCTTTTTTAAGGCATTTAGAGCTATTATTATAAATATCAGCTATGTAAGGGAAGGGTTTGTAATTTTTATCTTTCTTATTTTTTGTTATAAATCTATTATTGTAGTATTGTGTATGCCAGTTTTTTAAAAGGATTTTTGGATAACTATTAAGAATAAATTTATCATCTAATTCGTTTAATTCAGTTTTGCGTTTCTTTTTACTGGTAGTTCTAGTATATATCTTTTTTAATTCCATTATATATGTAT